ATTTATCGTTCAAATTTAATCAGTCTATAACTGATTAACAAAGAATCAATAATCTTTGCTAACCCCATCATATAGCAACCAGTATAACCATAATGCAGTCTTTGCTAACCAATATTATAGCAGTCTATAATAATCAGTCTGTAAGTGGTTAGCTTAGCAGAGAAATTTAAAAGCAATAAGAAATATTTTTTAGTAATTTAAATATTCACTTTATTTCTTAACACTATAATCAATTTAAATAAACTTAAAAATATTTTATAGCATTCAGCTGATAAGATTCATAGTCATATAATATTCAACTCATAATTCAAATCTGCATAAATACTTTTATGAATACTCAAAGTATCATTGCAATTAATAAAACATGTTTCTAATGCTATATGTTTCGTACCTTAGTACAGAATCTTTTTCTTTTGGTCTTTTTTTATTTCGCATTTGAGCTTAAGCTTTCAGAATTTTTTTTTTTTTTTTAATATTTCAGTCAAAATCTTTTAAATGAATTAAACTGAAATTGTGGAAAGTGGTTTTCTTCATCGAAATATTCGTTTACGTACTGGTCTTTCAGGAAATACTTTTCTAAAGATAAAATAGTGAGCTTGAAAATTAATATTTTTTCATTTGGGGCAGATATAATTCTATCAACTAAAAAAATATAATTTTCTTAACGTTTTCTTGAATTGTCATTAGCTCTCCAAAAATATGATTTAATCCTTTTGGAAAGATTTCTAACTAGATTTTTTTTGTTTTTTTGTTTTTTTGTTATTTCCAACTTAATTTTCTCCAATTGTTTCATACTATAAATTTCAATTGTTGTTTCAAAAAAATATTTTTACCTCGAATTTTATTTTGCACCTCTAAAATTGCTCCTTTGAACGTTCGATAGGATTTAAACCTAAACGTTAAAAAGGTTTGTGAATAATTTTGGAGAATAAAAAAGTTGAACCTTGTTTTCAGAACAGTACGCCAAAGCCAGTATGCCAAAACCTTTGTAAGATTTGGGAATTATTTTGCAAGTTAAGATTTTGTGACAATGACATCCGATTTCATTTAAAAATATTAATATATTTTAGTTATCCATAATAAGATCAACATACTTAAGATAACTGTTTAAAGAGCGATATACACTCCTGAATCACAACTAATTTTTACCCCTTTCTGGCTGTTGGAATTAACTTGAGTTAGACAACATTTTTTTTTATCCTTTTGTGACCTAAAAATTGACTTTACTAATCAGAAATTGTATAAAATGAGTTTCTCTCATTAAATATTACCTTATGCTAGATATGAGAATACTTTTCTTACACAGATTTTGCGGGAAATGCGGGGAAAAAAAATGCAAATGTTTCTCCTCTTCCACTGAAGTAGAATTTTTAAGTAGCGAAATATCGAGCTTCTCCTTAAGTATCAAGCCGGTGGAAGAAGTATTGCAGGGAAATCATCCGGTTGGTTAGTGTGTGAATTCATTCAGTAAAAGCTCTCTTGCTTTTATTGAATGAATTTGCACATTAAGTTTTACCCTGACAATTTTTTAACCTTAAAAAGCGTATTTACAGAAACTGCATTTTCTGTGTAATAGTTAAATTTGTAGTATAGAGGTTAAGAAAAGTCCTTCTGTTACAAATGATTATAGTAAACAATTTAATAGGCACATACCTTGGCACATCGGATTAAATTTTGAGTATCCAAGTTTCTTGTCATATATTTCACGTGTTCTGTGTGAGATCCAGTAGTCATCCACTCTATGTTCCATTTTTAGTCCAGACACGTCCAAACATATTGAATGTGACTGATGCGAATACATGGATAATGCGGACTTTGAGTTCACTGTGGGTGAAGGTTATGGTTATATCTTTAGCAACAAAATTACTATCTCTAACATATCTCCCCCTAAAAAAAGGGGGGGGGGAAATAAAAACGCAAAGATCTTCTAAAAGCTTGGCAAGGAACGTCGATTGCTTCTTTGGATGTGTCCGAGATATCAGTTTGTCCATGTCCGAAGACAACTCATTATTTACGTGGTTAAATCAATATTGATAATGATCCCGATACATTGCATCGACTTGACAGCAGAATCATATGAATTACTTTTTATAAAATAAATCAGCAAAAAACTAAATTAAATAATGCAGGAGTTTTAAGAATCTGACACACATCATCTGTAATATTTAACTTTAAACTTGGGCAATAAACTTGGAAGTTTAATTTGATATAAGGTAGGTAAATATGTGCTAAATACATTGCTTGTTAGAAACATTTGCAACAGGTTGATTCTTTTTGACTTATGTATTCCCATTTTCATCCAGAACTTCTTTCTTACCTTTTTTTTCTTTGCTACGTTACTTCTTTTTAAGTGTTTAAGTAGTAAACATCCCGATTTTCTTCTTTAAGCTAAACATCGAAGTGTAATGAAGAAAATTCTTCTACAGCTAAGTACACCAGAAAATCTTATACGCAGTTAAATGCATGAATTATTGCTTAGACACTTTTTTACCATCTCATTGTTTTCGGTTGCCAATAAAATTCTATCCGTTATATATAATGATTAGAAACAGGAAAGAAAATTATTGCCAATCGGCGATGGATAATATCTTTCATTTATATTCGGTAGTATTATGAGGTATTTCTCCCGCCTTCTTAGCATGCCTTCGTGGTGTAGTGGTCAGCACCTCGACGCGTATTCGAGAGGTCCGTGGTTCGAGTCCCGGCGAGGGCATTGCTCAGTTTTCATCTCTCCTGCTTCAAAAAAAAAAAAAAAAAAAATTATATTAGATAATCTCTACAGTGACTCCCGAACTAAAAAAGGTGGTGGATAATGATTCTCCACCACCAGGATTTGGCGATTGGGTCCCCTAAGCACCAGTCGCCCTTTAAAAGGGCGAGTATATTTCTCTCGCTTACTTAGCATGCCTTCGTGGTGTATGGTCAGCACGCTCGACGCGTATTCGAGAGGGCCGTGGTCTCAGTCCTGGCGCGGGCATTGCTCATTTTTCATCTCTCCTGCTTCCAAAAAATTCCTAATGTCTACAGTGTAAGTGTACGTTGCTCATTAACATAAGGATATTAATAATTTTAAATGGCTTTTTATGTAGACTTCTCAACATTTTCCAACAAGTGTTATTTTATTCCATGTCTCATATAATATTTATTTACTTATTTATTTTAAATTTTAAGTGACCAGCTTTCTTTTGAGATGTTAGAATGCTTTCATGTCGCATTTGTAAAAAAATATTTCGAAAAATGTGTTACTGTTTTCACTACCCAAATTTTGTATTATGGAAAAATTGAAATTATTGCTATTTATCTCCCACTTCCAATAAATATATGTTAATTTTAAATTTCTGGACACATTATTACAGCTACTTTAAGAGCAAATTTTTTATCCTCCAACGGCGGCAACTAGCCATTATAAGTGTTGGCCACTGCTAAGGCCGGAAGCGACGATGGTCGCTTTATTATGGAGGCACCTAATAGGTGCACCCACCGTTGCCTTCTATGAAGGGGCAGACAATTTAGATCCATGATTTACAATTTACAATTACATACAATTTACATCCTCCGGGATTCAAACCCAGGCACTTCGGTATTGTAGTCTGAGTCACAATTTAATAATGTGAAATATTGGACTGCAATCTGAAATCTAAAGTTTTTATATTACAGTTCTTTTATATGGGAAAGGGGAGGAAGAGAATGATCATAAACAATCCAGTAGTTTTTTTTTTTTTTATTATTATTATTTTAAGTTTTTAGAAAAAATACTGTATTTGATGGCGCTGGATTGCGTTTGAATGAAGATATTTTAACAAATGGTTTATGATTATGCACATTGTTATTCATTCATTACATAATTTATAATACAAAGACAGTAAAGAAATAATAAAATTGTTCTCTGAAGGAAATATAAGGAGAAGGGCATGAATAGCAAAATAAGAAATTTATTAAAAAATTAACTAAAAACTATTTTTAAGCATAAGGTATGTTTCCGTTAAATTTAATTTTCAATACGGCCTAGTATTGAAAATTAAATCGAAATATTGCAGAGCTAGGTAATTTTCTTTCTTTCTTGCTAAATTATTCATTTGCAAAATGTAACAAAAGAGTTAGGCAGTGGTAAGCCTATTAAATTCAGTTGTATGGGGGGCTGCGACACCAACAGACTGCTGAGAGGCTAATGGAATTTAATGTAGCTTATAAATACATCGTCATATTTTGGATTCAATCGAATCAAAGCAGTGCAATCTTTTAATGATTTTTTTTTGTGCATAAACAGGAATAAAATGTATATGCAGCAAAACATGCACAAGTGATATACTAATATTATATATAAAATTAAATATGAGAGTTGCGCTCATGTTCTCTGATTTCAAAGCAGTGAAAACAGTTTGATCAGTTAAAACTAATATTTAGTTTATAAGGAGATACCCTCCTAAATAATTTAATAAAAAGTTAAGCATTCTGTTTCAAATATTTCCATTAAATTACAATAAATTTTTAATTCTTAGACTTGCAATGAAAACAAACAAATGGGAATTCTGAATTTATAATTTGAATAATGTTATATCATTTACACTGAAATTATATTATTTACATTAAAATTAAATTAAAAATTTTTCATTCTTTCCCAAATTATCCATCCATTAATGTTTTGAAGAAGCATAAAATCACTTAGAATAAATTTTTAGAGAAAATGATAATTTGGCTATTTGGACGCTGAAGCACGCATTGCTAATCTTCATATCTGTGACATGAAAGGGAGCGCACTTTGTAAGTGGACTTTTCTCTTAGTCACAACGCCTCTGCTATCTTATCACCTGACCTTGTTCCCGACTGCTCCGGCGTCAAGCTTGCATATCTTTTTGCTATCTAAAGCTTAGTTTCATTGGCCGTCGAATATATTCGCTGAACTGTCGCCGCAGTATCTCTCCACCAATGAGGTAGGACTTAAGAAAATCGAAGCGGGCTTTTCTCTACGTAGCAGTCAGGCTCCACCCTCCCTGATGTTTCTCTCTTGTATCGGTTGCTGTGCGCGAAGTATTTGTGTCTGTTGATGTATTTATTGTTTCTTTTTTTTTATATCTGACATCACCATCGTGTTTATTTATTTGCTTACCGAACTTAGACGATTTTTCGCTGTTAATATAAAGTCTATTAAAAAAGCAACGAAATCCGAGGAGTTTCGTGAACTGATGCTAGTGTGTGTTTGTTTCTCAAACCCCTTTTGCATGTGGGTTCCGGCGTCCATGTTGTGGAATGGCGGACCGAAATGCAGTAACCAGCTGGCTGAATGCTCTCTTAAGTGAACCTGATTAAACGCCACGTTTGGCGCTTATGTTTATTTGTTCGTCTGCTGAATGTCTGACATGAATTGGAAACGATTTATTTTGTTTTTGTGTGACCTATGGTGCCACGGTGTGTGGGAATTTTGTGAAAACTGTATACGATAAAATTATTCGTGTGGGTGCTGATTTGTATTGGAGCCCTCCGTATCAAAGCGGCATAAAAATTCTGCATGATCGTGCTTTTCCATGGTGCTGGTCAGTGCTGAGGGCTCGGAGCGGAGGCCCCCAATGGAAGCCCCCGATAATGCTGTTATGGCACCAAAACAAGCTACTTGGATCAAAGGGGAAGATCACATGGTTTTCCTAGACCACGCAAGAATTAAAAGTAAGTACTCTGTATCTTTCTCTGAATATTTTCTATTTCAGTTGTTGTATTATTTAAAATTCGACAGATCAACCTTTGCTAACATGTTTAAACGATCGCTTGAAATCTTATTACGTGTTTACATAAAATAAATACAAATGTACGTGGTTTACCTTGGCAACAGATGGCCCCTTCTAGTGTTTATAATTATGACTTACCATAATTTAAGAAATGTCATATCTTCTATATTAATTCGGTGGCAGAGTTCGTGTTTTATTAGTTGACTGTCTTTAAAATGCCTGAAAATAGTGCCTTGTTTATAAAATGTGGTTTAGTAAAGTAGAGATCTCTTATTTCTCCGGGGAGGACTTCCGCAGGATTCCTTGGCGATATTTCAGTTTTTCACTCGCCAAAGGCTGATTCGACAACTCTGAATCATTAAAATAATAAACTGTACTTTCCAAGTAAGTTGATTATATAAAGCGGTATGAAAAACATTAAAAAGAAGATTATTTTTAAAAACAAATATTGGTGAGTTTTATATGCTAACTTCTGAAAAGTGATACAAATATTTTTTTTGATAGAGAATATTTTTTGGGTGTGTAATTTAGAACTTAATTTAGGTAAAAATATATAGACTCGAAACATTAATATCATTCAAATGACGCAGAGTGTATATGTATGTGAATCTACTGTTTACAGAGCTTGTTTTTTTTCTTTTTTATAACGAAATAGCTATGCATCATTTATGTGCAGCCCCAAGAAGGGCATTAAAACAAATATATCGGAAATTGCTAGAGATGAGATAACATAATGGTAAAATTGTTTTTGATAGCATTTTGAATTTCAATGTTTATTTAATTACATAACCCTATTCAAATAAGTGATCAGCTACTCGCGTCTTTATTTACCATGCTTTTACGCAGCAAAAGCCGATGTTCGATGAAGATCAGTTCGATGGTCTTCGTATGTACTGTAAGGTTCATGAAATTAAGTAAATGATTTGCCCCCAGTCAGATAAATACAGAACTATATCTATTTGAGTTACGTGGCGCTTTTCAATCCCAGCAGACGTACATCCCGCGGAAGCCTTCCAACCGAAGCAAAGTAATTTCCATCATTGAAAACTGAAATAACGGCTGTTGCTATGGCCGGAAAACGCTTGTATGGAATTGCCAATTCAGCAGCGTTATCGCTATTTTGGCAGTGTTTACATTTAACAGTTTCTGTAGGAAAATGCAAGCCATTCATTCCCATATTTGAAAATTCCTGTTACTGGGTTATTGCCCCCGCAAGGCTGAGTGCTGCAGTTTGAATGAGAGTTTTTTTTATTTGTTGTATTATATTTCAGTAAAGATTAGGCAGTTTCCAATTAACGAAATTTGAAAGTATGGCCAATTTGACAAAACTGGATGATAAAATATTTATTTTTGCCCAAGCACACAGAACATTTATATGTGAAATAAAGGACAACAATCAGATAAAATTTATTTATGCAGACCCTAAAACTAATACAGTCTTATTTTATTTTTAATATACTAAAAGCTGAATAAATATTTTTCGTGTATGGGAAAACAGGATGCATAACCAATTTTTTTCAGCTAAAAATTCAATCGAGACAGAATGGCTATAAATTTTAAATAAAATTTTTTGCAATCCAATAAACATGTTGTATACGTTCATTTAAATGTAGTGGATATTTAGAAATATATATGCAGTGTTTTATCGTTTTGTGTTGTGTAAATAGACTGAAGCTATAAATATTTTACTATGTAAATGAAAGAACAAGTAAAGAAAGCAATAGCAAGTTTAAATTGAAATGTCCTATCTAAACAAGCGATTTAGATAATGGTAATGTAATTTTAAAATGTAAGGTGTTGTAACTGTAAAGAAGCTTCTAGGTTTTCTCATAAACGTCATTACAGAATTTAAATTCTTAAATCCCTAAATAATCATTCATCGTTTGGATCTGATTTAATGTATGTTATTTCATTTGCAAGAAATGGGAATGATTCGTGATAGCGCTGCTGGTGGTTTTTGAAAATTTCGAGACCTCTAAAACACTGTTTTAAACTTAAGAATTAGCATTCTCTCTGAGCATAGCCCCTTCCTCCCTCTCAAAAGAAGGATGTATTTTTCATTTAAATCTATGAAAATAAAAATAATTAAATTTTAGCTTTTCTGTTTTTAAGCTTCGTCTTTCTTACTTTGTTTTTTCATAATTTTCCTGTGAAGAGAAAGACATCAGTTTCGCTTATATCTAATATAGTATTAAACCTGATTTCATAATTTTTCTGCGTTATAAAAGTTATGAAAATAATTAAATTGGAATTGCTTGATTATTCATCGAACTTCCGGTGAAAACGTTTTGGCGACTAGTTGCTGATACGTCGCCAAGTTAAAAGTGCAATAACCCTACAACACGTCATAAGTAGTAAATATGAATCAACACCTAAACAAAAACATAGTTGTGTATGCAAAATCTAAAAATACAGGGAGCGTATTCATGTGTATGTAATAAAAAAATCGAGAAAACTGTAGTGAAAATGAAAGTAAAAGCCATTATAACATTCACAAAGTAACGGCTAGAAATGAAGGGTACGGAATGTAAACAAAGAGATAAACTATCTTTAGCGTGACTACCTCCGTACAGCGAAACATTCAGTCAGTCAGAAGTAAACCAAAAATAAAAATGGAAGTTAGGATATATAAATAAAAGTATTGCAAATGCCAGGTTTTATATTATATACCATAGCAAAACTAGTGCATATGTATCAAGACGGCAGTAATTCAATGTATAATTAAAACAAACACACACAGTTTAATTCATTATCCGAAATATTGCAACAACAAAAAATGTGTACTTTATTAAAGTAAACTGTAAAAGATTAGGAAAAGCGTTTCTAGATGATACTTGGATAGTATTCATAAGCAAGTAACCAAAAAAAAAATTTAAATGGAGTTGTAATATGTAAATCCCCCCTCCCTCAAAAGTAAAATTGGAACAAAAAGCGTTTTTTTCTATTCTTATTATGTTTCCTATTTGGACTTTTTCCATGGCGGAATTGCCTTACAATTTTTTTTTTTTTTCTCCTTCGGCTGTTTTAGGATTAAGTGTTATTATTCCATTTGAATGTTTATTTTGGATTATTTTATTTTAAGATTACCATCCATAAGGAATCTACAAAAACTTTTAAACATTTTAATTAATATTAATTACGTACACGGCACAAAAAAAAAAAAGAGACAGTTCTATATTTCCCATTGTATTGGGCCAATTGACGAAATTTGGCTTGTGTTTTTCATGTCTCGAAAGCACGACTTAAGATATGTATTAGATTTATAAATAGCATTGTTCTAATATAGATATTTTGACACAAAATTGGACTTTTCTGAAATAACGTACCGATTTTTTTTTTTCTCCATATTTCTATTCTGCGACTCAAATTACGCACAGGTAGTTTTTAAAAATTTAGCTCCTCAATGTTAATTGAGTTCGGTATATATTTATTAATCTCTCATTTTTTATTAAAGTTACTTGATTCTTCCTTTCACATTTCAGAATTCAGGTTCATTCCAAATAAAATTCACCCATTTTTTATGATTTATTTTAAAAATTTGTATTTTTAAATAATCTTTTTACATTTTTCAAAAAAAATTGAATTATAATCTATAAAATTTTTAACACCATCATAAAGTAGATGTATTTCTAAGCATACCTGCAAAAAATTAGTTTTTTATTCAAAATTTCCAAAGGTATATGTGAACTTATATATTGGCGAGTTTTGAAAATTTGGCATATTTGTTGAAAGCGATAAAACATCAAATGGGACTTAGACTTTTTGCTAAAATTATTTGAAATTAGATATGGTGTAACTTTTTTTCTCGCTCATGCACAATATAAAAAGGTAGGAACGAGGGGCCTTTTTTTTTCTGCTTTGCCATAATGGAAGGAAAGGAAAATTGGTTGCCATGCAAGAATAATTATCTCAACTTCTTTGTGCAAACTGAAATTGCCAAGTGAATTATTCTTGGTGCAAACTGAAATTGCCAAGAAAAAATTTTGAATTTCTTCAGAAATTTCGCACCATATTTAACAAAATTTAATATCTAGGCATAATTTGAGTTGTATAATCGAAATATGGACAAAATTGTTATTTTAGAAAAGCTCCGATTTTTGTGTCAAAATACCTATGTAATATGTAAATCTAATACAGTCAAAAGTCTTTAATCTGGACTTCCATAATCCGGAATGATCTATAAACCGGACCTCAAAGCTACATACACACTTTCTGCGCATACATATTCGTTTACGCATGCATGTTTAATGTATAACGTATGGTATAAGCTAAGCTAAAATGATCTAATTATCTATTTCAGTTAATGTTGCAAATTGCGTTGTTCCTTAATCTTCAAATTGGATCCCGCTTATTATTTTTTGCAGACTGTTAGAGCAATTTTATAAAAGTAAGCTTGAACTTTCAATTATGTCAAAAAGAATTTCCAATTCTGGAGCTGCCAAAGGATCTATAAAGTGAAAGCATGTTTCGATGTCCATCAAACAAAAAGGGAGATTGCTTCAAAAAATGGATAAAGGCATATCCATTGTTTCTCTAACCATTCCGAAATTTGTTTATCAACTTCACGCTGCTCTGCGGGGGGGGGGGGGACGTCATGGCGCACAATGAACTGGAACTTGATCTGTCAGCACTATCCTTATCTTCAGGGCAGATGCTTTTATTTTATTCGGCTTATAATTCCTTACTAAATGTAGTATTTCATCTCGATGTACTCCGTCTTTGATATGATTTAAATCAAATTCCTCATCATTATAAATATCACGAATACACATGAAATAGTCTTGTGGTTTCAATTTTCTAATTTCGACTATGCATATGCTTTACACATATAAAGAAATGTTTAATAAAGTAAACACATAAATATTAAGCTTTTTTTTTTTTTTTTTTTTTTGTAAATTTTGATACCCTTTAGATCATAATTGCTCTTTATTTCATAAATTA